TTCTTCCTCCCAAACACTCGTCTCTGCTGGACTTTCTGTGGGGTGAGCTCCCACAGGGGTTTGGTGCTAGCACGGAGGAGTGGGCATGGGTGGGCTTCCCCCTCACTGCTGGTTGAAGGCAGAGCTGTGGGGAGCCTCTTTCTGAGCCACACAGGACCCTCCCAGCTGGATATCTGCCTTCTGGGAATCCAGGACTGCAGTCTCCGGGGCCTTCCAACCTTTCCCACCTTGCAAACCTGTGAGAACAGAAGCCTGGGAGGGTGGGAGCCATGGAGGAGGGGTGCTGGCACAGTGCTCTCTGGAGCTGCCTTCAGGCTCCCTTGCGTTACCTTCCAGGTGAGACTGAGTTTTGAGGTGTGGGCTGGGGGCATCCCCATGTCTTCCTGGGGGTTTCTATCCTTATGGATACCTTTAGTCTGTCTAACCTGCTTGCAGGGCTCCAGAACATCATCTCGGATGGTGCTGCCCACATCCTGGGAAAGATGTGGGTGTGTGGCCTGGGTGCCCCTGCAGCACCCCTATTTCCCACAGCACACTGCACCCACCGCGGTCTAGGAAAGCCTCATCTTCAGGGGCAGGGCATGCTTCCCCTTTTAACTCAATCCTGTAGAGAAGTACACTTCATCCCTGCCTTGGCCACCCTCCGCCCAGAACCTCTGCAGCACTGCACTCCTTCAGTGGCCGCTCCAGGCTCTGGGTGCCCGCTTGACCGCCAGGGCTGCAGGCTGCAGTACAGAGACAGCCCACCCCTGCCCCAGTGCACTATGAAGGGTCTTAGTGCACAACTTGACATGACAAAAACAGGTCAAGGAAACTGGATCTGGAGCCGAACAGCCAGTCTACACTCCAGAGCAGAAACCAACTAGCCAGAGCAGCAAAGTAAGTTGTGCTCAAAGCTGCATGTGAGCTGGGGGGTCTTTAGGGCTCCAACGTTCTCTAAAGCAGTCTGCACCCCCAGTCAGGGGTCATCATTCAGCCTCCGCCTTGTTTCCTCTTTAGGAAAACGAGGCTGAAATAGTGCATCTCTGGGATGGACTGAAGAGGGGATTGATGCTGTCGCTATGCTCTAGTCCCTCATTCACTCTGCAAACATGGTGGTGGCACACACCAGGTCCAGGGGACAGCGGAGGCCCAGGCAGGTCTGCTGTCTGCATCACACTCAGGCCTCCAGGAGAGGCAGACACTGCACCGTCCACACAGGCGGCCCAGTGAGTCTGCGTGGTTCCATGAGCAGTGAGGGCCGTGCCCAGGGAGGCCGGAGGAGACCCACCAGCTCTACCACTCCTAGGAGGCACAGAACACCCCCTAGAGATCTTCCACTGAACTTGGAGCACACAGTGGGGAACGTGTTAGACGTCGCTGGGAAGCAATCAGCAAAATCCACATGTGGGGAAAATAAAGCCCCAAACTTGACATCAATGATTTCTGGAAAAAAAAAATTGCAAAAAAGAAAAAAGAGGAGGAGAAACCTTGTACAGATAGAGCTATCAACTCCGATGACCCTCTGTGGATCCAGCTTCAAAGGAACCAACTGGGAGAGCCACGCTAACAAAAATTGCTTGGTCTTGTCACCAAAACAGACATGTAGACCATGGTACAGAACAGAACACAGAGACAAACCCACATAAATATAGAGAAAGGTGCCAAGAATGTACATTGGAGAGCAGACAGACTCTCCAACAAGTGGTGCTGGGAAAACTGGAAAGCCATATGTAGCAGAAGGAAATTAAACCCTATCTCCCACCCTGCACAGAACTCAAAGTGGACCAAGGACTTACGCATTAGACCAGAGACCCTGCACCTAATAGAAGAAAATGACACTCTCCATCATGTCCTTAGGAACCAGCCTTAACAGGGCTCCTAAAGCGCAAGAAGTGAGCTTAAAAAGTCAATAATGAGGGCTGGGGTTGTGGCTCGGGGGCAGAGGGCTCACCTAGCACATGTGAGGCCCTGGGTTTGATCCTCACACCACATAAAAATAAATAAATAAAATAAAGGTGTAGTGTCCAACTACAACTAAAAAATAAATATTAAAAAAATTGAACAATGAAATGGAATCAAATTAAAAAGCTTCTTCACAACAAAGGAAACATTCAATGACGTGGAGGGAGCCTACAGAATGGGAGAAAATCTCTACCACATGCACCTCAGGTACAGAATTAATCTCCAGGATATATAAAGAATTCAAAAAACTTAACACTGAAAAAAAAAATAACCCAGTTAACAATCAGTCAAAGGAACTCAACAGGCACTTCCACAGACAAAGAAATACAATTGGTCAACAAATATACAAAAAAAAAATGTTCAACATCTCTAGCAATTTAGAGAAATGCAAATTAAAACTACACTGAGATTTCATCTTACTCCAGTCAGAAGGGCAATTATCAAGAATACAATTAACAATAAATGTTGGTGAGGATGTGGGGGAAAAGGTACACTCATACACTGCTGATGGGACTGCAAATTGGTACAACTACTCTGGAAAGCAGTATGGAGATTTCTCAGAAAACCTGGAATGGAACCAACATTTGACCCAGATATCCCACTCCTCAGTATATACACAAAGGACTGAAAATCAGCAAACTACAGTGAGGCAGCCCATTAATGTTTACAGCAGTTCAATTCACAATAGCTAAACTACGGAACTAGCCTAGGTGCCCTTCAACAGATGAATGCATAAAGAAATATACACAATGGTATATATACACAATGGAATATAACTCAGCCAAAAAGAGAAATGAAATCATGGTATTTGCCAGTAAATGGATGAAACTGGAGACTATCTCGCTAAGTGAAAGAAGCCAATCCCCCAAGTACCTGAAGGCCAAATGTTCTCCGTGACATGCAGAAGCTGATTCACAATAAGGGTGGGGGACGGTACGGAAGAATAGAAGTACTTTGGATTAGACAAAGGGGAATGAAGGAAGCCAGAATGGGAATAGGAGAGAGTAGAATGAATCGGACGTGATTTTCCTGGGTGCAAATATGAATACATGATAAATGTGATTCCACATCATTTACGACCACAAGAATGGGAAGTGACACTCCATGTATGTCTCCCAGTGGGTTCCTTTGAGACACATGACATTCTACTGTCATGTATAACTAATGAGAACAAAAATTTTAAAAAACCAACTGAGAAAAACGCATGACAATTGGGAAATCTGAGCATCGAAAAGACGTGGAGGTGTTAACACTGTTATGAATCTTGATGGGATGGAACTGTTGTGGTCTGGTTATACACTGCTGAGAAACTGACAGAGGCAGTGACCTGGTGACTGAGTCTGCGAGTCAGAGTCGTGCAGGGGTGCAGGGGAGCTGGCCTGCAGCCAGGGTCCAGGGTGCTGTGTGTTGAAGTGGGTCAGGCAGGCACGGGGTTTCCTGGCACAGTTCTGTTTGTGTTTGACATTTTACAAAGTGCTTCTGAAAGCATGCCGAGCACGAGGAAGACAGTACGTATAAGAAGATAACGGGTGTTGCAAGGCAGCTGAGGGACAATGTCCAGCAGACTAAGCAACTGGTAAGGGACTGGACGGAGGTGGGTGTTTCCAGGAGCACACTCCCAGGGATGGCACCTCAGGGTGTGAAGAGGAAGGGAAGTGCCAAGGAAGCAGGTGGAGGGGCAGGGAGCCCGCCTGGCATCAGGGACAGCCAGGCGCAGGAGAAGGGCTACCTTCTGTTTGCCAAGCCACGTGCTCTCCTGTTGGAATCTCGTCCCTTGGTGGGGGTAGCATTATCTGCCTCTCCCAATGTCCAACAGCTAAGACAGAGGCTGTAAATAATGAGATTTCTTTGGATTATGGGAGTGGGGTGGGAGGAGGGTCAGAGAGAGCAGCCATGACCCAGCGTGGCTACAGCAGGAGTGAAGGGCAGAAGGTGCAGCAGTCCCCGAGGGCCCGGAGGTGCAGAGGAGGAGCTGAGGGACCTCTGTGGGGTGATGAGGTGAGTTGGGAGGCCACCCAAGAGCCCAGCAAACAAGAGCAGTGCAGAAGGCAATGGGGACACAAACAGGATTCCTCAGGGCAGCCAAGACTGACCACAGGTGAGCACCCCCCAGGGTGAGTGCGGCCCGGGGGGCATGCTGACCACCTCGTTGGACAAAGCAGCTGACGACACCTGTCTGCATAAGCAGTTCTCAGCTGAGCGTCTCATGCACCTTCCCCAGGGCAGGAATGAGAAGGAGGTCCTGTCCCCTAAACTGTGACTCCACGTTGCTCGCTGACAGACTGCCACAGTGGCCACGTGCAGCCAGCGTGTGAGGGCGAGCCCCCAGCCAGAAAGCAGGGCCTGCAGGGTGGCCACAGTTGGGCCTTCTCCCCGAGACAGCAGGAGAGAAGCCGTCACCTGCGAGGTCTTGGTTTCAGAGCCCCAAGCCAGCTGGCCTCAGAAGGAGGCTGCTGAGAAGTGCATGGCCAGAGCCTTCCAGGTGCCTCAGAGCAGCCACGGGCACCTGCCGACGGTCGGTTACACCAGGTGGCACATCACTGCGATCCTGACAATCAGTGTTGACCACGAGTCACGTCGAGGCCCACACGACACGTGTGCATTGTGAGTGGTGCTGACCTCAGGTGGGAGCTTTGAGGACAGCATGTGATGTCAGGCCACGGGGAGAGGTGGGACACGGAACAGTGCTCGTATTCAGTCTTCTGGAACACAAGGCAGACAGCACACCTGAGGCCAGACCCGTCCCGTGAGCCTCACGCCATGCCCCATGTCAGCCTCGTGGATAAAATGATGCGTTTAGGCAAAGGAGTGCACAGAGCGGACGATCTACAGGATGTGCACCCCGCCCACAGCGGCCACAGGCCTCCCAGGCAGCGGAACCACCACTCGCTCTTCACCCACACCGAGGGGCTGAGGATGCCCAAGGTACCCTCTGTCCCACTCTGCCTCCTGGCCCACCCACCCGAGGAGGGAAGCACTGACAGGAAGACCCTCTGGCGTAGGAAGAGGCAGGGAGATTGGCAACGTGAGGCGGGCCAGCGAAACAACTCACTCACCATCATCCGAGCTCAGGGGGCCTCTCGGGTCTTCTGGAGACGAGGGCCACTTCTGAAGGGGTGCTGCCACCAAGAGGGGCCTCGGCACCCTTGAGGGGTTCTTCAGAAGGTACTGTGGATCTGGGTCACCCTCCTTGGGGACTAAAGGGGGCCTCCGGGCAGCATGGGCTCCGAGAGCGGCGATCAAGTGTTGTCTGTCCACATTGCTGTCCACCTTGGGGCTGAGCTCGTCTGGCTGCAGCCGGCTGAGGGTCCGCAGTGGAAAGTTTTCAGGATACTTGTCTCGGGTCATGGGAGGGTAGGTCAGTGCAGCTGTGTGGGCCACATAGGTCAGGACACTCTCGGGGAAGGGGTCCTTACCCTGGAGGGGTAGAAGAGCAAAACAGGCAACAAGTGAGGCTCCATATCAGCCACACACATTCGAAGGGCCTTGGGCCCCTTCCTAAGTCCTGCCACGGCACCAGATACCTCTGAGGGGTGAGTCCAAGAAGGACCTCGTGGTGCTGACCAGTTCATGCTGTGCAGACGTCCCTGCCCTGGTTCTTAACAACAGCTTCACCGAGGTATGTCTCACAGGCCGTGACATCACCCAACAGCACCACCACTGATTCCAGAACATTCCAACGCCCCCTAAATCAACCTTGTCTGCATTCCGTCCCTCTCCCTTCAGCTCAGGCAAGTCTGCCACTTTCTGTCTCCATGGATTTGCCTGCTTTGTGGGCACTTCACATGCACAGACTCTTGTCACACGTGTGCGTCTGCATCCTCCTCAGAGCTCTCCAGGTGCACCCAGACCCAGGCTGAAGCCCACCAGGATGTCCCTCCTTGAGGCTGCAGAGGGTCCCTCTGTGTATGCATCATATTTGCTTATCCACATATCAGCTGATGGACTCTTGGTTGTCTTCAAGTTTGGGCTGTTCTTTAAATATGTGTATATTTTAGTTGTAATTAGACATTATACCTTTATTTTATTTATTTCTTTTCATGTGGTGCTGAGGATTGAACCCAGCACCTTGCACATGCTAGGTGAGCACTCTACACTGAGCCAGCCCCTGGGCTACTCTTAATGACGCTGCATGAGCACTTGTGTAGGGGTGTTTGGACGGACACACATCTTCCATTTCCTGGGGCATATACCTAGGATGTGAAATCGCCAGGTCAGACACTAATGCCTTAACTTTCTGAAAGACTGCTAAACTATTTTCTAATACAGCTGCATGAACCTTGCAGAGAAATTGAAGGCTGGACCTCCCCACACCCTCATTCTAGAGGCTAGGAAATGTGCTGCTGTTTGCCTTTAGAGAATTCTGCTGGAAAGTCTCTCCATGTCCTCCACCTGCAGGGAGCTTACTGTGACCCTGTAGCCTTCTGCACTTGCCCCTCTCCTTCAGCCACCCTCAGCAGGCTCCAGCTGCTTCTCTGTGGGTGTGGGCTGCATTCTGGCTCCTCTTGAAGTGCTCCATGCCCTACTGTTTCAGCAGCACAGCCTCGCACAGGGAAGCAGTCAGGGCCTCCTCCGGGACGGACAGCCACACCGTGTTTACTAGTTGATACCCTGCCCAAAACAGTCTTTCCTGGGCCCCAGCCTGTGTTTTCTCTGCACTGAGTGGTATTCGCAGGCAGATGCATCCTCTTTACACTTTGCTTCTGCAACTAGAAAAGCCAAGTCCCAGTGGTTGCACAACTGTGAAAACGTTAGATATCTCAATGTTCTACTCGACTACTCCACCAACGCTACACACACAAGCACAGCAGCTTCCAGCTTCGAGAACTTGAGAGATGAAGGCCATCCTGGAAGCACGTCCGGAGCTTCCTCCCTCACTGTGTGTCCAAGGCCACCCATTTTTCAAATCACATCCATTCCTGCGCTGCTCATGCCCCTGGGGCCCCTGGTCAATGTGGGTTGGTGTGAGTGCCTGGCATTTAGGTAGGTGCAGGGTCAGAGCTGACACTAAGGAGGCACCTCAGGACTCCAGATCTGGATGCTCTCAACCATATTTTGGCTCCACCTCCAGGGGTAGATGTGGTGTAGGAGGTGGAGCTGGGCAATGAGATGGTGGGGCCTAGTTTCAGCTGTCTGCATGAACTTGAGACATCACTTCACCTTTTGAGACTCGTTTCTTCTATCAAAGAAGGGAATTTGGATATTGTCTCTAAGATTTTTTATTGCTTATTACTATTTCCAAAATCATGTGACTTTAGCTGTCATCCAAATTATCAAGTCTTGTCTGAGGACTAGGTGAATCAACTGCTCTTCCTGGAGAAAAGAGAAGCAGGAGGAGGGGGCATCAGTGGGGAAGAGAGATCGCAGACAGCACCGTCCACAGCCCGCCACCTCCCTCAAGTGAGTTCAACATCACCAGAGGCTGGCCTGTCTGTACCCACTAAATGGCTGTTTGGTCCACGGTGCTGGAGGCTGGGTGTCTGCATCCAAATGCCTGGTCATTGGCCTGTGAGTGTCTGCACACAGCTGGTCACACGCAGCCTTCCTTGAAGCCTCCCCCTAATGGCCTCTGATTAAAGTCACTGAGGACAGCTCCAGGCAGAGGAGGAGCACAGCACTATGCCTGGGGCTTGTAAGCAACCTGATCTTGGTTTGTTGATGCTCAAGAGGAAGAGGAGGAAAGAGACCTTCTCAGCAGCAGCAGAGGCTACGGAGGTGACAGAAATGCCCAGGTGCCTCATGGAGTGACCTCAACCTCAGGCCCAGGGCTTGTGTCCAGGGTTGGGAGGAGGAGCAGTGAGGATGCTCCTCTCAAGGCTGGCTCCTCCCACGTCTCCCATCCCAACAGGGAGGTGCTTGGCTTGGGAGCTGCCTGGGCTGCAGTGCTGCCTGGGGTGGCAAGTGCTGGCATCAGCCTCTAGCCATCTGGGAGCATGCAAGAGGACACTGCTGCAGAGGCCCGTGCCACTGCCACCCTAGTTTCCCTCCTCATACCCCAACTTCACAGGGCAGCAGAAGGCCCACAGGCCCTGAGGGCCCCTCACCTTTCCTCTAATTTCAGCATTTTGAGTTTAAAGTTCTGACTTGCTCACAGCCTCTATTTTGAAGATGCTTTAAGTCTCAACTTATCTAAAATGTGGGGTTTCCTGAGATAATGCTGAATAATTTTTTAAATGGAAACTACACAAAACCGGAAATTAACAACCTAGAAGCCAGTTTCTGTTATCTGGTACATGGTGTGGACACAGGCACAGGAAGTCCCCAACTGCATGGAAGAGAATCCAGGGGCCTCCTTGGTGTGGTCCGGCTGGTGTGTGAAGCACTGGACAGCTGTGCCCACCCTCGCTGAGATGTAAGCTGGACACACCGCTCCAGGTAATCCTCTACCCAAGCTGTATTCACATAAGAGACAGCACCCACTGAGCACAGGTGGAAACAGCCTCTGGAAAGCAAGCTCCTTAGAAGACCGACAGGCCATCAGCATGCTGGTGCAGCCTGCATCACTCCAGCCATTCACTAACATTTTCACTGCCGGAAGCACTGGAAAAACAACTGTGTCTTCTTTAAAAGCAGCTAGAAAGATGAGGAAAACCTAGGTAAAAGTATCTGGCTTAGCACACGCCCCAAACTGTTAGTATCATCCTCAGCAGCAGCAGCAGCAACATCCCAGACTCGGTACCATCCCCACCACTATCCACAGCAGGCCACTACCTCCCTCGGCAGCATCCCCACCGTCACCCTCTGCAGCATCCCCACCGTCACCCTCTGCGGCATCCCCACCATCACCCTCTGCGGCATCCCCACCCTCTGCGGCATGCCCACCGTTAGCAGGATCACATGCTCCTGCTGCTGTGTGCTAAGCTCTGTATTACATGGGAGAACAATGATTCAGACATGCCCTGTCTTCCAACAGCTTGCACAGTGCTATGGAAGTTATGTCAGAGAAATCAATGACTATAATTAGAAGCACACTCAGAGAGTTCACAAAAGCAACAGTGGCTGGGAAGGAAGAGGTTCCAAACTCTGCAGGACAGACCAAAGCACCTTTCTGGAGCCTCTTCTCACATTGCTTCCCAACGGCCCGGCAGTGAAGTCACTGAGGGAGCAGTTCTCCTTGCTGCCAGCTTGACCCCGTTGTGGAGCGAAAGCCAACATCAGCCCCCTTCTTTTGAATCCCCTGGACATCTCCTACCCAGATTGCACACCAGCAGTTCAGACTGCTAGGGAGACCTGGAGGTCCCCGAGTCCCACAGGACACACTGAGTGCACGAGACTCTTGGCTGCAGGCTGGCCCCTCACACTCATCAGATATTCTCTTATGCCAAGGACTGGAAACAAATCAGGAAACTCAAATTGGGACAACTTCTGACCACATAACACACATTTTCTCCATGTGCCTCATAGCCTGGAGGCAGCACTGACAGGCACAGTGATCAAGACGCACACTGGGCCTGACAAGCGTGCAGCAGTGGGGCTGTCCACAGGCTTCCTAATGAGCGGCCCACGATGCCACTGGGTCACCCAGTGCCGTGAGATCTGGGAGCACAAGCCGGGGGCAGTAGGTAGGGATCTTAGACACCTGTCATCTCTGCTCGTTAATGGAGAGCCGCTCAGGCCTGGACAGCATCGGGGTAGCGCGTGTGTCCTCTATGTCTCCGGCTCTGTCATTGGACTATGGCCTCTATCTCTATGTCTGTGTCTCTGTTTCTGTTCTCTCTCTCTCTGTCTCTGTATTGTGCTTCTATCTCTGTTCTGTATTTCTATGTCTGTGTCTCTATGTCTGGATCTGTCTACTGTCTGTCTCTCTGTGTCTTTCTGTCTGTATTTCTCTGTGTCTTTGCTTCTGTCATCTGTTTCTGAGTCTCTGTTGTCCTATACCTGTGTCTCTGTCTCAACACCTGGCTGGGGGCTACGCTCACGTGCAAACAACCAGCTTATGATTCTCCTGTGGCCTGGCTGCTCAAGTGTCTAAGGTGTGGAGATGCGGGGGTGATGCTGGGGACCTGAGCTGTGTCCAACAGCTTGCAGTTCTGAGGGCCCACTGTGTGCAGGGGGAGAAGACGGCTCCTGTTGACCTGCAGTCCCCAGAACAAACACACTCAGTTACAGGAAAGCAGAGCAGCTGATCAGAACTACAAGAAGCCCTGGAGCCCTAGATCCAGGACCTTAGAACTCACAACATCTACAAGATTCAACAGGGTCACATCCTCAGGTATAGGATCCAGGCACCCGTGGAAAGCTGACGGTAACAAGAGCGTGGCTGCGAACATGGGGACATGAGCAGGTAACCTAGGGTCTGCCAGTCTGGGGGAGTCTGAAGACAAAGGAACAAAGCAGACGCTGGTGCCCCTTGCCTCTCTGTCACTTCTCTATCACTCACTTCCACGTCTGCATGTGAGCTGGCACCTACAGCCTCA